CACACACACACAAACACACACACACACACACTTTACAGAGCCTTGGGTGCAAGCAAACTCCTCAAGTGAATCCAGAACTTTCTCAAAGAGAATAGCTAACACCCCAACGTCATTGGCAGCCCCCATCCACACACACACATACACTCACACAGTCACGAGGAGATAGGCGTCAGAGCTGAGGCTCTCTCTCGCACATGTCTCCCCCCGCTTCCTGACTGCTTGCTAAATTCCCCTCTTTTTTTAAAGAGAGAAGCAGTAGGGTTGCCCTCATTCAGTCTGTTCCCTCCAGATAGAGATGAGAGGGGTGGGGGGGGCTGAGGACAGAGGAGGCGAGACGGAGTCAGTGAGGGTAGAAAGAAGAGAAGATGAGCAATAGAAAGATTCTGTCTCGTAAACCTGATTTTACTACAGTGTTTTTTCCACTTATGACGCAAAACGTACCATACAGTCCTGGAGTCCTGGGGTGGTTTCAGATGTTACAGCAGTTATATCGACTGTGTCTTCAAACAGCTCAACCAAAAGACTAATCGATGAAGATTATGAAGATTGGGGTCTTGCTCATCTTTTAAACAAAGGCCTCAGCATCTTTTTCCCTCCAACTCCATTTTTTTTCCTTCCGTGAAGAATTCATGATGGAGTTTCCAGATTCTCTCTCATCTCATGACGGTGGTGTCGAGAGTGCTCAGGTAGCCAAGGACAGGCTTGTGTGTTGTTGCCATGACAACATAGTGTTAAGCTATGAACCAGATTTATTTTCTGTATGTTTGGTTTATTTTTCTTGCTTGCCTCCGGTCCTACTGTATAACTGTAATACTTTATTTTTTATTTTTCCCACACTGGTTCATTCATTCCAGTATGTTCTGGTTTTAAAGCTCTTTCATAAAGTAGATATGTATTTTTCTTCTGCTTTTCCTTGCTTCTGACCTGTCCTATTTGCAGCTACAAATCCTAATTTTCCCCACCGGCATTATCAGTCTCATCTTAATTAGAGAATACATTCTTTAATCGGCAAACACCCAAACAACATGCCGAAATTAAAATAATGTGATTAAAAAATTTTATCCAAGCACACACTGAAATTATTCACTAAACACTCATAGACACTCAATAATTTACACAACACTGAGCAGGATATGGATAATTCAGACATGTACTAATTTTAATTTTGAAGAAACTATATAGTTGATAAATCATATCAAATAAAACAATGTTTGCTCTAATGTTACACATTTACATTACAGTTTTCAGTGATTGAAACATGTTCTTTGTATGTAAATGAGGCCAGATCTAAAAAAAAAGAAGCATGAAAACGGCTTGAACAGCTGCTGCTTGAGTCTGTTACTGAGGCTTGGTAGCCACCGAAAATGTAAAAATAGAAACTGATAATATAACATCTTTTCAGGTTTCTTTTTTTTCAGAACTCCTGATGGTTATTGAATATTTTTTTACTCCATTAAATCTACCCGACAGCTTTTGTTAATTAGCCAAAACAGAATACAACAAAGAAAGGGAAAATGTACCAGCTTTGATAAAAAACATGAATTCACCACCATCATAATAATGCAGTCATTTTTGCACAGTTAGTATTTTAATTTGTGGTATGTACGATTTTGAATGCAGGACTTTTACTGCTAACATTGTGTTTTACAATTTAGTATTTCTGCTTTTACTTATGTAAGAAGTTGGAGTTTCTATTTCTACCGCAGGTACAGGCAAGTATTTTTCGTTCAAGCAGTTGTAAAATGTCAGGACATTTTATCACAATATTGGTCAGGTCATTACATCATTGGGTTTATTTTCTCTTTGATCATGTGAAGAGCAACCTTTATTATTTTTCTGGCAGCTATTACATTGTTAGCTGTAACAGGAAACAAAATATTTTTTAAATGTACATATTCAATAGGAACAAACAGGCTAGACTCTGGAGAAGCTTCAGGAGGCGGGAAGCAGTAAAAATCAAATCTGTGATTTCACACTTTCTAGACATTCTCCTCCTTTTTACACATGTTCCCATTCTGTCTTGTCTCCCCCCCAACACAGGTGTTTCCCGTCTTGATGATCAAATATTCATCAACCGCAACCCTGGAGTACCATCTGTTGTGAAGTTCCACCCCTTCAACACCTGCATCGCCGTGGCCGACAAGGACAGCATCTGGTCAGAGAATAAAAACCTTAATCAGGCCTTACATGCAAATGAGTCAGATTCAATCTAAAATTCATAGCAGTTTAATCATGTCTTATCCTATGTTGTCTGTGTTTGGTTACTGCAGTTTCTGGGACTGGGAGAAGGGCGAGAGGCTGGACTACTTCTACAACGGAAACCCTCGCTACACTCGCATCACCGCCATGGAGTACCTGAACGGACACGACTGTTCCTTACTGCTCACTGCAACAGGTGAGACACACTCAGAGTAACACTCAGATCTCCTTCACATGCCCCTCGGATGGTCCAATTTCCAGAGTTGAGAAGTCATTGTTCTAATTTGAATCTGTTCATTGGCTGTAATTCATACTATGAAAACAACATGGACGCCCCAAAGAAGATTCAAGCCTACTTTACTTCTTTGGCTAAGGAGGGGTTTTTTTTGTCTGTTTGTCACGATAACGGAAATGTTGCTGGCCCGACGTTCATGAAACTTGGTGGAACTTTGTGTAGCATGGGCCGAAAAAATAACTCTTTAACTATGGGGGCGGATGCAAAGATGTATGCAAACCGTGCGAGATATGGCAACAGTGCTAGAATCGTTGCAGTAGTTTGAAAAATGTGATCCTGACTCGGTACATCTTTAACCAATTTATTATTATTGAATGCTGCACAAAATCTCCTTATGTGATCCACTCCCAAATGATTAAGGTTCTTCCTTTACCCATGATGCAACCTTTCACAAATGTTCATGATTACCTTGTTATCCTGATCTCAGACAAACCAAGCCGAGAACAGATCCTCCTTGGCTGATGAATTAGAAAGAGTTTTCTTGAGCGAGCAGCTCAAATGTTCACACCCACCAGAACTTTGGAAATCGCAACGAGACTCATTCGAGGCAGCAACAAGCCTTAAACACTTGACTCTTACCCCCACAAACACACACACAGCACTCATGTGTATTCATTATCATTCATCAACACAACGCAGCAGTTACCCTCCACGGCTTTGTCTCCATGACCCAGAGGAAGTGTAGAGAACAAGTCCACATTCCAACAGAAACACACATTTATTTAGTTTCGTCTTAACAGCGCTACATTAAACTGAGAGTGAGCGCTGTAATTTATTGCCCCTCTCCTGCAAACTTGATAAAGCTCGGGGGTTAATGCGTTTAGATTCCATCTCATCAAAATGTAATGTGCACTTGTTCGGCTTCTCTCCATCAGTCAGCTGAGGAGGATATCTAGGAAGACATTGGTTATAAAAAATATACAGCATTAAAAAAGTAATACACGGAATGTAAATCAAGTAGAGACTTTTATAGGTTATAATAGCTCTTGCATAAGAGTGCATGTTTTATATTTGTCTCTGTGTCTTAGTGTAGCTGTGTTTCAGCTACACTGTTTATGTGCTGCATTCTCTCTTGATTCTCTGAAAGAGGACATTATGCTCATCTTCAGGTTGATATCAGTATGTAGTGTCTCTACTGTGACATGTCTCCATGCTTTAATGTTCAAAAAGCTCTTAATGTACGTACGATGTGTTGGAGCGCAAGCCAAAAGAAGAGCAAGTACTGCATTCAAGATCTTACTGAAGTAAAAGTACAGAAGCATTGGCATCAATATACTTAAATTATATATATGCTTAAGTACTTTAAGTAACGGCTAATTTCAAAACAATTTATTAAATAACTAGATTATAATCATTGCTTCAATCATATGTCACTCACAGCTAGGAAAGGTAGTTTTAATTGGGTTATTTACTGCTGCTGGATATCTGAAAGAGGCCCTATGATGCTTTTGGGGTTTTCCCTTGTCTGTAGTGTTTTGTGCATGCAAAGGCTCAAATCTAAAAGTTTAATGCAGAGGGAGTTTACACTTACGCTTCTAATGGCTAGCGCTTCAACACATTGTAGGTGATAGGCTAAGGGGAGGAAACTCACGAAGCAGTTGACCAATCACAACAGAGCCGGCCAGCTAACCAATCAGAGCAGACTGGGCTCTGGTTTCAGACAGAGGGTGAAAAGAGGTGCTGCAGCACAGGCAGTATGAGACAAATAAAGAGCTTTTTGAACATTAAAGCATGGAGACATGTCCCAGTAGAGACAATACATACTGATATGAACCTGGAAAAGAGAATACGTAACACTTTGAGGCTGGCTCTGTATCTTTTTGTCAGTGTGTGTAATTTCCAACACATGTTCACACACATTTTTGCATCAACATTTTCTGCACAGCATGCACTTCAAAATCCATTAAGAGTACCAACAAGTGTTGTGCTGCACCTTCTTCTGGCTGTTTTTCACTGCATCTCTATTTTTGTCCTGGCTCTTATTGAGCTGAAAAAAATGAAAAATTTGTAGGTCCGACCTTTCTGGAAAAAAAGAAAAAACGGCGAAAAAACGAAAAATTAACCCTTTTTGATAAAAAGGTTAATATAAAATTTTTTTTTTTTTTGCAGGAAAAACGGGGTGAACAATTTGCCCAAAAATAAGTTAAAACTAAAAGGAAAAGAAAAATTACAAATAAAAATAAATAAAAAGGAAAACCGGAAAAGGAATTACCAGAAAAAAGGTAAAAACAAATTTTTTTTTTTTTTCCCGGTTGAAAAACCTTAAACCGGGGACACAACCCCTTGTTTTTTTCCCCAAAAAATATAACTTATTTTTTGAAAAACCGGGAAAAACCGGGGAACATCCGAACAAATTAACCCCAGTATAAGCTAAAATATATAAAAAAAAGTTTCCCCCCCGGGAACCCCCCCCCTTGGGTGGTAAGGGTTAAAAGTAAAAAAAAAAACCGCCACGGGAACCCCTTTCCACCCACCCTTGAACCCCTTTCCCCGCCCCCGTCCCATTGAACACCCCCCCCAAATACCCCCCTAACCTTACCTTTTCTTCCCCCCCCCAAATAAAACCTATCCTTGATTCGTTTCTCTTCCCCCCCTCACCCAGCAAAATTGACCAACTCGGAAGGCCCAACGGGGGCGAAAAACCCTGGGGACCACCATCGTCGTACAGCCTCTCTGGGACGGTGCGGCAGTGGTAGAGACCCAAGAAGACCAGACGCTTACAAGAAGGTCTGGTGCCTTGCGAGGTAGCAGACCTCTTTCTTCCCGCCCC